ATATATATATATATATACACCATAATATAAAGAAATACAATTTAAGCTCCCAATGATACTGATACTGAGGTATACTTTCACAAAATCGCAATTAAAATTAGCTAAAATGTCTGGTGGTAGCTGATACCCCTGGCTGTCAGAGTGTTAAGAATAAAGAAAAAGTAAAAAATAAGCAGGGGATTAGAAAAAGGAAATGTGGTACAACAAAGGAATAGGCACTTCAGAATATGCATATATTAAATGTAAATTGTACTGTTTTCTTTTTTCTTCTTTTCAAGCTGCACGGTTTACGTGTACTGTGTTCCAATCAAGAGCATGTGCTTGTCTACAGAAGTATATTATTGGAGATGGTAAGAAAAAATAGATAAACAAAAGATATTCTTCTAATGTAACAGCTATTACTTGAATTTTAAAATATTTACTCATTTTTATTTTAACTTGGGAGCTTCACTCTAACAGGGCTTAGTATGCTTTATACTAAAAAATGTTAAAAAGATAAAGGACACAGAAATAACATTGTTCCTATACTCTTCTGTATAGACCAATAAATTGACTGGTTGGATATTTGTTGTTTTCTTTAAATCAGTGAATACCATAGAGTTATAATAAGAATACTAGGGCGCTAGAACTCCAGCTTATACGGTGTTCTGTGTGTGTACTCAACGAGATGCCAATCAAAATATGCCTAAGCATCTTTTCAGTGGCGCCCTCAAGTTAACCTTGAAATTTTGAGTATAAAAAATAATTTAGATTTTCATTCCTCGGTACTTTATATTAAAATTAGACACTCCACTTGGCCTCTTATTTGCTGGGCTAGTTTAATAATTTATTGATGTTATTAATAATAATGATTAATGAAATAATCGTTTGTCAGCGGTCTTCATTATGGTTGTACTCTATACTAAGCCTTATTGAGTACACATACACAATACTGCATTGTTTTATCGCCTAGTTAGCGCTCTAGTTGTTTAATAGCTCAGGTAAATACTAAAATATTTTGGTTTATGTTAAGCCCAATTCAGACTTAAATATTATTTGACCAAAATTGTACTGTATGCCCATATATAGTCATGATGTTGTTATATATGGTCATGATGTGATGTCATCATGACCATATTTAGGCATGTCACATTATCATATTTTTGTGAAATAAAATCTGATGGTCTGGAGAGGGCTTTACAAAATGTCTTTAATCAAGTCACTTTCTTGTAGGTAATCCAGAGGATTGTACAGCACGTACCAATAACTTACTGGATTTATTAAAGCAAGCTAAAGTTCTGCGATTAAAGAAGTGTTATAATCCAGATGATGTTGAAGTCAAAGGACGAAAGTAAGAAAAAAAAAATCAAATAAACTGTCTTTGAATAATGATGTCTGATTGTGAGAATGATGATGATGGTAATGAAAAAGATGATGGTAATGATAAAGGTGGTGATGATGTGGATTACTATGAGGATGATGAGATTGTGATGTTGTAGATGATAATAATGAGGATGGTAATGATGTTGAATATGATAATGATGAGGATGATGCTGATGAATATGATCTGATAAGTTAATGAAGTCGATGATGTTGAAGAAAATGATGACGATGATAATGAAGATGAAAATGGTGATGACGATGAAGATGATGATGATAAGCATTGATCATTTATGATGTATATCATACTGTATCCAGAGAAAGATTATGACACCAAATTAGGATAGCATATCCAGCATATCCCAAATTGTTTTTGCAGGAAAATTGGACTTGGCAATGGGCACAAGAAATCAAAAGAGTATGAAGAATTTGTCCTCAAAAAGAGACAATATTTGCGTAATGAATTGAATTTGTGCGAACGAGCTGTACAGAAAGTTTTATTGTATTCAAACAACTTTTTACATCGTCGTTTGAAGACAGAAGATCAGACTTGGAGGGTTGAGAGAGTTCGTGGAAAGTCAGCAAGGGGCCTTCTTAAGACCATCGAAGAAATGCAGAATGAACGTTGTTGCGATGACGAATGTGTACTAGTATGTAGTAAATGTTTTAATTTTTTGTCTATTTGTTTTATGTATTAATATGTTAATATTAATTTATGTAATGAATATCATCATCATATACAAACCCCAACCCAATATACTTTTTATATAATTCCTAGCTTGCCAAGACTCATTCATTCCTGTTGACCAAATGGAGAGAAAGGGCAACCTCCAGTCAAGCTGAAGCAAGGAAAGTGTTAGCTGAAATGCTGACGCCATCTGGTAAGCCTATTTTACATTGTACATGTTGGATTTATTTTGGCATCTCATCTTTTTGCTGTGGGATCACATTATAGGTTATGGTGGAATTAATTTAGGGTGGAACGGCTATGATCTTACTGTGCAGCTTACGGGAGTAGTATTTTTGTCATTATGATTAATGATTATCTTTTTTATTATTATTATTGAGATTCATTGTCTAGATTTTAAATGTTTTTTTTATTATTATCATTATTTATATTGTTCAATATGTTGTTGTTATTACCTTTATCACAGGTGGAAGATCAAATTGCTTCAATTTCATTACTATGGTTACGGGAAGCAGTGCAAGGACAATTGGGCGGGTCAGAGAACAGATGCGGGAAACAGGAGGAAATCGCGAGCCCCCACCACACGGACTAAAAAAGTACTGGAAAAAGCACCCGTACAATAAGCAACCAAAAATACCAACGAAAACAACAGAGGCTAGTAGTAGCAGTACTAAGTCAGCTCCAGCAGATAGCATATTGAACGGCACAGACATATTGCGCAGTACCAAAGACATGTCACAGGTAATGTTGCTTAAGTCAATCTGAAATACCATAAATGTCAGTGCATTATAATCACAGAATTTGATGAATACTGTGTGTTGGGGGTGAGGCAGAGATGCCCAGTCTGGTTGTATGCAAAATTATTACTGAGGTTACCCACCTTTCGAAGATCAAATGAGTAATTATTCGATAATATTAAGTATGTATATTAAACAATTTTTTTATGCAGCCATTAAGTAGTGATATGTCTGTAATTTAATGAAAATGTTGTTGGTTAAGTAAAAAATATATAAATATGTGATAATATTTATTTTGTTACTATACTAGATTTGATTTACAAGGGGAAAAAAATCATGATTGTATTTTTATTTTTTTACAATCGTCTGTTTATACTTATGTATTTATTGCTATGATTACAGGAAGAGTTGCAGCAACATCAGTTAAATTTGGAGAAGATGCAAGCACAGCTTGAAGAGAAAAAGCGGCGAATACAACAGCAACAGCAGATGGTAGAAGAGCAGCTTCACCAGCATAAACTAGCTGAACAACAGCGACAGAAACAGCAGGAGCAGCAACAGTTGATAGAACAGCAACACAAGCTTGCTGAGCGACAGAAGGAGCAGCAGCAGCAGAGACAAGCGCAGATGGTACGGACCAATCAAACTGATCCCACCCAGACGGAGTTCAGCACCAGAATAGCTCAGGAGCTTTTCTCGGAAATCCAGGGGCAGATTATAGGTCAACAGCTGCATCAGCAATTGCTTGGCAACCAAACTACAGGACAGGCTGCAGCTCAAGCAATACAAAATGCAGCAGCTTTGAACGCATCCCATCCCCCTCCAAGTTACAATGTCGCAGTTGCCTTGAATTCAACAAATGCAGCTGGTCAACAAAGCAATGCAACTGGCTCAAACCAGACACAACAGGCTCTTTATTTTCAAACATCAAATGTGCAACAAACACAGTTGCAGAATTTATTTCTTGGAAGTAACTCTCTACACTCCCACCAGCTGCTAGGCACGCAGACCCAGCAATCGCAGCATAGTGCCCTCTCGTCTACTAATCAGCAGATATTAGTCTCCTTAGCCCAAAACCTTAACAGTCTAAGCTCCGACCTTAATGGTGATGTTAGTCTATCAGATCAAAGTTCATCTGACACATCGCATGATCAGCTTAATGTATCAGATGTGATGTCACCAGGTAGTAGTGTTATTCAGCATTTGACGAGGCCTGGCCTGCACAATCAAAACAAAACACAGAGGGTCCACCCACTGGTTGGAGAGTCATCCAATCATGAGATAGCAATACTAGTTCCTACCAATGCAAATAACAATGGTTCGCATTCATCCTCTGATCATGCTGGCACAGTTGAATCTCTACTCTCTTCTGATGCTTTACAGATATTCAGCCTGCAGTCTATACCAGTGTCTATCACTATGCCAACCATACCAACTCAGTCCTCTTCATGACATCAGCAGATGACAAAGTTATCTGACCATTATTAATTTTGTATTATTTAAACTATTGTATAATATGCAAGTATTTATCAATGTCCTCAAAATTATTTTTTAGCATGATCATATTTTTCAGAATTGGAATGCAAATAGCTTTAATTTTATTTAGTAACAAATGTTTTAACATTCCGTATGTGATGGTTATTAGATGCAACAAGAGGCAGAGTTGCCATTTTTATTGAGATCTTTCATAGAATATTTTTAGTGGAAAATCAGACATGGATGAAGAGCATAAATTTAAACCACAGCATATTTTGATGGTTTAAACATCATTATTAAGTGGGAGCAACTGCTGCTAAACACTAAGCTTTTATGTAGTAATGACAGAATAAGTTAATGCAGTTTTGAGTAATGGGAAGACAGAATAAATGAGGCAACTAAAATGTTAATAGTGTTAAAGTAATATTAAAAATTCTTGTGCTGTTTGTTTAAGTTTTCCCAACTAATGAAGACGGCCTACTTAATCTTAAGCTAGATAATTACTGCTGGCAGATACTGTAGAGTACAACAAATATTATGCTTGTTCATGGCTACTGTTTTGGACAGGACAACATTTACAGCAAATAATAACGGTTTCCACCAATTATTATTAATCTATTGTCAAAGCTTCCTTTCCATTTAGTGCCTTAGACTTATGTATCTGTTTTGTGTTATTTATTTCAATGACCTGTGATGTATTTGCGTCACTGGATAATTTTTTTTCCTGTTTGTCGTAGCCATAAAGGAATGTCTACACAAATGTTATTTAATAATATATTTTATTCTTCCTGCTTTCATAGAAGTTTTAAACAATCAAATAGCAATTTTAGAGCGCTCTTCATAATTTATTCATCATTTCAGTGTGTCTATTTGTCCTAAATTTGATGGAAGGTGAAAGTTATGTAAATTATTTTGTATATTAAAGTAATTTTCGCTGTGCATCAGCTAAATTCTGCTGTAACTTTTATCTCTTAATCATTGTTCTAAATTCTGCTGTAACTTTTATCTCTTAATCATTGTTTTTAATTCCACCAAAAACTTCAGATGGAACTGACTGCTCCTCGATGTTGACCTCATCGACATCAGCTTCCCTTTCATCATCATCATCGCTGTCAATTGCGATCTCTTCAGGGTTGGTTGTTCTTGCTGCGGCCTCCAACTCTTCATTGGTGGCCTTAGTGTCGCCCCTTAAAATAAAAAAAATAAAATCAGATAAAAGAGTGCACATTTGGACTTTCAAAATGAAATTACAATAAATAACATTTGACATGAGCTCACATCTTGAGGGCGTTAGTAATCAACATTAGAGATGGGAAAGTATTGTTGAATGACGAAAATAACATGGATTCTAGGCAGGTTTTTACTTCAGATAGTCAAATATAGTAAGTACACATGTTTTGCCAAAGATAATAGGTATTATGCAACTTTAAAGAAATGCAATGAATTTGCAAATGAAAATAACAGAGGCTTTGTTGGCTGTATTCAGACATCACTGAAAAACCATGTAACATTATACAGGCATTAATTGGAAGACCCACCTGACAAACAATATATCCTTTTTGGTTTTTGGTTTGTCTGCCTCTGCTTCGGCAGCCAGTGCTTGAGCTCTCTGCTCCAGAATCTTCATATCATCCAGACCACCTGATCCCAGGTCAGAGACTAGCAGGTAAATATAAGAAATGAAAAAGATTGCTTACTACACTTCTCAAAAGATAAAGAACTTGTATACAAGAAGTAATAGATAGTTATAATTATTTTATAAGTCTGCAATAGATTATACCGCCATGCCTACCCCAGCATATTATTCATATGAATTTACATAGGCGCTGAAGAGAATTAATAAAGTAAATTATTTTAGCACTTAAGACAAGGTGTGACACTGGCGGAGTAAGAAATGTAATGCCAACAGCAATAACAGGACATAACTACAAAATAGGCAATACGTTTGCCTACAGTATATAGCAGTGTAATCGTTAGTTCTACAACCACTTAAAATTCTAAATATCAAAGGAAAATAAAGTTTTAGATTAGCATTTCTTTTAATTCAATCACAGCATTATATGCTAGCATAATAGCCATCTACAATCCTGTAGTTTATATGAGGGCAGTGTTAACAGGTGATCTAATTACCTGTACCAGGTGTTGGTTGGCTGGAAGCAGACAGCATCTGTGCTGACATGAAGTTGACCTGAGTATTGTAGGTGGCTTGTACGCTGCGCTTAATTCGCAACATTTCCCTCACGGTGTCCTCATTTCCATGTTTGATCTCAAACTCTTTCCAGGTTTGCCAAAACGAGGCGGTAGTCTGGAAACAATAAAATATAATTATTATTAATATTATTATTATTATTATAATTATTTATTTATATTATTAGTACAGCAACTGACTTTAAACTCATGTATTAACTTCAATAAAATTGTGGTGAGTTGTATCATGGTGGTTTGATGTTTGTTGCCAGGGCTCACGGTTGGAACTATATAAATATAAGTTTCCCCCTTCCCCCTGCCTCATAATGACCTTTTTTTTAATATAAATTATTAAATAGTGTACTTCCATTGTGTAAGTTATCAGTTATTTACATTGTTATCAAATGTTAGTCACTCCCTCGTATATGTCACCCACTCTAACTAAAACATGCTCTTGTCTCGGGTAATAAAAAATGAGGTCAAAAGCTAATAATTGATGCAAAAATTGTTAAAATCTTATATGGCAAAGATATAATTTATATTTTTGGTCTAGCATGTATTAAGATTTGAAGACTAGTTTTTGGAGACAAGATTCCAAATTAATTTGTTCCAACAAACCTTAAAGGTTCCAAATCTGTCTCTTATACACATCTAGATGTGTATAAGAGACAGATATATATATATCGCACTTACCCTCGGATCACACATTTGTGAACAGTGAGCATACACTGCACGAGCTCGATCAATCTCTCCGAGTTTGCGCTCCAAATCTGCATAACGTACGCACATATCCCGTGCCTGATCATCCCCAAGAACTTCAATTGCTGTCTCGTAAATGGTCCTAGTGTGTGTTACACCATAAATCTCTGCAGCTCTCCTGATGTATATATTGAACATCTAAAATTATAAATTTAAGTTTTATGTTTACAACAAACGGGACAGTATCATGTCATGTCAGTGTCAATTCTACTGACAGAGCCAAACGTTCATGGGATAGTTGTGTGATTAAATACCTTACCTCATATTGCTCAGTTGGTAAAACTGCCTTGGTTGCTCGCTCATAGACTGCCATTGCATGCCTAGCTAACCCATAATTCTCCTCCAATTTGGCGTAGAGTAAATACAATGCTGAAAACACATTAATTACAAGGAAATCTTTGTAAATTATTATTATTATTATTATTAAAAACATGACTAGGATAAGTTGTAAAAAAACCAAAGGATCCACTAAGTAGTCCAAAATAAAACAAAAAGACAGCAACTCTGAAGAGACAGAGACATTTTGAGATTCAAAGTTTTGATGTATTTGATTATTATCTAGAATACAAAGTTGTTTACCTTTAGCAAATTTGGCTGGACAATCTTCAAGGCACTGCTCAAACAAATCTCTAGCTCTTTCCAGCTTCTTTCCCTCCTATAACATGAAATTAAATTCACCACCAATTAGTGATTAAAGATGTCAATACAGTATTTTCAACATGAATAATTATGAATGTAGACTTTCAGGACATGGGTCTTCAGTTCATTTAGTACATCACATGAGAAAAAATACTTACGTATCTTTTGATGAATTTTGTTAAGTAGGTGTTCCATATGTCATAAACGTTAGGCCACTTGAATAGTGCAATGCCCTTCTCGTACCCTTTGAAAGCATCTTCAAAATAGTTGTTTTCCTCCAGGAACATTCCGTAGTTGATGATTATTTGTGGAGTCGCTATTCTCAGGTCAATGATTCGGTCATACACAGATTTGGTAGACTACAAAGAAAAATGTTGAAAAAAAAAATTGTTTGTAACAATATAGAAACAATTCAGTAATATAGTTGTACATAACAAATTTTTTAATTGACAAATTCACAAATTTTTGTAGACCCAATCTGATCTATTACAGTAGAACCTCGATTTTACGTACGGTACGGGACCGGAGGGCGTATGTAAATCGGGGGATTCGTAAAATAGAGGTTGGGTTAAATTTGTGGTAACCTTTGACCTAATATGTACGTAACGCTCAATAAACGTATGTATGAACGAACTATGTTACCTAGGCTAGACCTAGCCTCTGGGCCTACGAATAAAACCATTTGTTTAGTGTTTTTATTCATCACTTTACGATGTCATGATAAAGTGTTCAAATAAAACCATGTGTCTAGTGTATTAATTCATCACTTTATATCTTTTATTTTACTAAAAGAACATGAAAATATTGTAATATTACCTATATGACAAAGGTATAACTTAGGAATTCCCCTTCATGCCTATTCTAAACAACAGAGCTGTGGTGTTGTCTAGGCCTGTTGAGACAAACTAAACCCATGTGCGCTGCACTGGGCGAGTCAACCAATTAGCGTCCGTGTACGTGAAACAGCAACCATGTGCTATGTACTGGGCGAGCCAACCAATTAACGTTTGTGTACAAAACTATGTCTACTCAGCTTCGTGTAGAAAATTCGACCAGACGAGTTTTTCCATGGTTTGCCAAAGGAAGCTAAGGAGGAAAGCAATTATTTTGAGCACCATCGGTAGTTGTTCATCTTACTCGGTTCACATGGTTTTAGATTATAACGACCCGGTATTAGACTTAATCAAAGTTGCTGTTTAATGAAAATATGTTGCATTATGGTTTGTTTATTGTTATAGTCTTTTTACTTATGGTTGCTCTGAAAAGGGCTGTTTGTTTTGAACATTTTAAGGTTTTTTGATGATGTCATCGTCGATACGAGGCGTACGTAAAACCGAGGGTTCGTATAACTGGGGTACGTAAAAACGAGGTTCTACTGTATGTAATCAACGAATATTCATTTATAGCAATGTCAGTATTTTCAATGCCTGATTTGGAGTTGTTTTGGGTTTCTAAATACAAACCTTAAATTGTTAATATAATTTTGATGATGATAAAATAGTTTATCATCATTCCAAATTAATTTGTTCCAACAAACCTTAAAGGTTCCAAATGATTCCTCCAGATCTGCATACATGGACCAAACCTTTAAGCTCTTGTACAAACGGTTCTGCACTGGTTCACTCTGGAGAAAAAAAAATACATTTAATGTGTTACTTGCTGGATTTCTCTCCCACTTAAAACGCAAAATAATAAAAAAAATTAGAAATACAGAATATTTCTCATAGGAGATTACTATTTTCACAACAAATTCTTTGTTACTAGGCAAATTCAGAGGTTGCAGATCGCATCCACTGGAATGCTCTCACTTTTATGTATACTTTAAACAGTCAATAAAGTGCACCCTCTCTAATGAAATTAGTTTTTGTACTTCGCATCTCGCACACTGCGGTCGATCGAGTAGGCCTGAGATATGTTTAGTTGTCAAAATCTCAGCAGAATCATTTTTTTAACAGATCTGAAATAATTCCTATGAGATATTATATTTCACAAGTGTCAATACCAGCAACGGAAAATATGTTGGCCATTTTTATGTGTGATAACAGAACCTAAATCGAGGTAAGGCTAGGCCTAGCCTAGCAGTGTTGGATAGGGTAATGTTAAACATAAAAAATTCATCTGCAATTTTTTTTTTTTTTTTTTGTGTGGAACACAAAAAAATCTAATTTCTGTCTTACTTTACTTTTTTGTCATGTTTAGGAATGTCTGAATTCAGTTAAACTAGCAATTTATTATTATATTTATAAATCTTTATAACATAACAACTGAAATTTTTGCCGGGAATGGGGCTTTAACTACAGACCAATCAGAACAGGGCGAGACATACACGCGTGCTACAAACACATACTGTCCCACAAACTCATGTGTTTATGTACATTTACGCCACTGTTTTTTGGGAACTTAGCAACAATATCGAAAAGGCAGAGCTTAGCAGAAAGTCCATTACTGTAATATTCAGCTTCAAAATGGCAAAGACCATACAATTTTGTGTACACAGGATTTGGCCTCTGATATTATTGATATAAAGTACCAATTTGTATATCTGTTCAAATTCATACTGCAACCTTATTAGGTATTACCTAATGAATATTCAAATTGACAAACCTTATCATAATATGCTGCCTTTCTTCCTGGGAGAGCTGTTGCCCGTTGCATCAACTTCAAGGCCTCCTTGTAGTTCCTAAAAAGATTATATTGATACATATAAGATTATATCTTTGTTTGTGTTTGTTAAGTATTTTAATCAAAGTAAAACTTTACTTACTTAACAAGGTAGTTAATTGTGTTTTTACTTCAAAAGTATATGTTTTTGAAACATCATTTACTAATGCAGTGAACCTTGAATTTCTTATAATTAATATAATTAACTATTAATACGAAATTAGTTAGGTAACACATTATCCTGCATTATTGTTAGTAATTTCAAAGTCATTATAGTTAAATGTAGTAATTATTTCAGCTCCAGCATTAATAAAAAGTGAGGATTGTTACATTCAAATAGCAATATTTACTTGTTTTGGGAGACCAAAAATACTTGTTGGTGTAGCATCTTGTTTCAATATTCCAGTAGGAATAAACACCGCAACTATGAAAAATACCTTTTCATAATAGGGGTATTGTTTAAGGCATAGAGAGGAGCTACCACACACCCAGTTTAATAGTCCTAATCATATAGTAATTACTGGTCTTAATTTTAGCCCCATACACTAATGGTTCCTACTGCAGTGTGTTTATGAGTGAACTTCATAAAAAAAAAAATCATATTAACTTTAACTTACTCATGCCTTATTTCCATCTCTGCTCTCTCACACCAGATACTTGCAAGGTCCTCTACTTTCACATATTCCACTTTCGTTCCTTTCTCAAAAATAACTCTAGCCTGATGAATAAAGAATATGAATATGTTGAATGTGTAACTTTGAATCGATTTTTAAGTAAAAATGTTGTACTATTTGAATTGAATTGAACCATGTGAATCAAATAGTGTATAATACAAATAATACTTGTTGAAATTCCTATAAAAACTTACTTCTGCTAACTGATCATGGCTTTCATAGAATTTAGCAAATTCAACCCATAAAGTATGAAGTTTACCAGTGGCTAGGTTAGGCTGCACTGTTTGCACCGCCTCCGTGAATGTATTGATGACCTAGGAAAAAGGAGACAAAATATTTAAAAAAAAAATTAAAATGAGTAATATTACAGAGGTTTAATTCCTTCTTAAAAATTGTAAAGAAAATATACTATCCAAGTGTTGATACTTGTTTATTCAAACTTTCAAAGAGTCGATTACAGAATACTCACATCTCTTGGTTTTCCTTCGTATAATTTAACTCGTTTATGCCACTCGTGCACATTATGTGGATTTTGCCGTAACAAGACACTATTCAACAACAGAGGACGCCGTTCCATCAAGTACTCATAGCGCTCAAGGCGTAAGTCGAGGTCAATGTCATCTGTGAATTGAGATTAGATGTAAACATTGAGAACCAAAACCATTAATGGTATTCCATCACTCATCCTTTTAATGGCTGTTGAGAACCCAACCAGCCTAAGCCATTAATTTATCTATGAAGTATCTATTATCTCTAGTTCTATTATCTCTGTGCTTTTTCTGCACAGGTTGCACTCAGTATAGCCAAAAAGTATCTTAATATGAGATTGAAATTTTGATTATGATTTTGATTATAGAAGGGATGTTTAATTATGTATTTTTATACCTAATTACATACAAATAATAATCCTACTCCTTAAACTAGTTGGCTACAAGGAGCTCATCCACCTCTTCAGAAAGTGATTAGCTTTGAAAATGTATTATTACATAAACTATAATTTGTATACTTCAACAAATAATAGTCCTAAAATTAATCATGGTTGGCTGCTGACTTTAAGAAGCTTATCTGCTACTTCATACGATTAGTTTGAAAATACTTTACTGTACATAAGTAACTCATTATAATCAAATTTTTAATATTTCATACCCTACATTAGCACCAAACTGTGTATATCTAGATGTTGTTTACTTGAATACATGACAACATGGTATCAATTATTATTTGAAAAACTGGCATGTGTGATTTATTCATATCGTCACCGCTTTCACGAAGTGACACAAACTTTTTTTTTCTTTGACATTTTGATTGTGTACTGTACATCAAACTTTACCTTTTCATCTAATTTTTAAGAGTGGAACTACACTAATTAGCTAATTAAGCTAATTAGCCGTTGTGCACAAACTGAGAAAAATGGATTTTTCGTTTTCACAAACAGACACAAACTTTCATTGGGTTATTAAAATACGCGTGTGTGGCGTTGCCATCGTTGTGATCGCTAGGTAAGGCCTACAGTAGCTTGGCTAGGGCTAGATGTAAAAATTAGATTTCCCTAGATTACCTAGGCATACCAGTACCCTTCTTGCAGTATAACTTGGGATAGGTCTATACATGTGCATCAAATGTGGAATTATTCGTAAAAACATTTTGATTAAAGCAAGATAAGCCGAGATTGTAGGCCTGTTTTTGCCCTTGACTACAATGGTTAACACATAACTTAAATACAGTTTGTGCCTTAACAACGGGTGCGCGTACAGCGCGTACCGTTTTCACAAAGAGACACAAACTTCACTCTACATGTAAACAACATATGCTGTGTTTATTCTGATCGTTTTCACGAACAGACACAAAGTTTTCACGCTAATTAACAGGTTGATTAAAGTTAAGAAAAGAAAAATAAATTACACATTTGGATTGTTTAATGCTTTATTTTTAAACATATGTAAAAAAATATTCATAATTCTGTTATCTTGATAGTGAAATTTACAGATTTGTGAAGTAGTCCACTTCAAACGCGTTTTTCTCAAAACGTTGTTTTCGTCGAAGTTGAAGTTTGCGTCTTGTGTCGGTGACGATATTTTTAATGATCTGACAGCCATAATGTGTAGATTAAATGTGAAGCAGTATAGATTTTAAATAAAGAGGTTGTGGTTTCGAGTCTGAGGCTGGTTACTTGTTTGTCTCCTTGGACAAGGCACTTTACCTGCATTGCTTCTCTCCACAAGTACCTGGTTAGGCTAAATGTATGGCTAAATATGGCTTCAAATGTAGAACCTAGTGTTCTTAAGCCCTGTCCAAACTATCAAATTTTATTTGACAAAAAACATGTGACATGCCTAAATATGGTCATGATGACATCACCTCATGACCATATATAGGCACATCATGACTATGTATTGGCATACAGTACAACAGTTTTTTCGTCGAAGAAAATTTGATAATCTGGACAGAGCTTTAAATATGTAATTGTTCCTTGAAAATAACAAGATAATCATAAAAAATATTTTAGAAATTAACTCGCTCATTTTGCAGTACCATACAAATTATTAACTTGAGCATAGACATTATGTTAAAATATGTGTACTCTGATTTTTAAGCTGGATAATTATAATAAAAATAATAAAGCACTTTGAGTGACTGGCAGTGTTTCCATCATTTTTTCCTGTAAAAATATGACTAAACATTTTTTTTTTTAAATCACTAATTTCTATTTTCATAATTTGTATGTTAATTAAAATTGGCCAGTCAATTTCAAAAATAATTGTTACGACTTTCTTGGTATTTTGCATGGGACATTACATCTTTAAGTCATAATGACAAAGTGACCAGGGGTTATATTGTACTATGCAATTTAAACTTATGCCCCTTTTACACTGCAAGCAAAATTCCAGACGTAACCCGGGATTTTCCAATACCCGGGTTAAAATCTCCCGAGTTGTGGTTATAGTGTAAACGTCAAAAACTCGGGTTGCCAAACATTCCGGAAGGGACGTGCAGGACAACCCGGGTGCATTCCGGAGTCGCCAGTGTAAACAGCACCGAATTTGATTCCGGAATTAGGCCTTACCTGGCCTAAACTTTGCCTACAATGGGTTAGGCCTAGACACTTGTCAAATTAAACCCTCTACGCTCTGGTATAGACTTGATATCAAAACTGCTGATTTAATTTGCATAATTTAAAAACAATCTGCAGGTACATTGCTTCAATAATTGGAAATAATTGTGGCTTTGTGACGACGAGTGACTTGATCGAAGTGATGATCACCAACTCAACAAAAACTGAGGGCGGTATTTGAACCCGAGCAACTCGCGATCAACCCGGACTTTTTCGTTCGATGTTCGACTCCGGAAGTAACCCGTGTCGATTCTGCCTTTGGCAGTGTAAAAGGGGTATTATTTACATTGAATCTGTGTATTAGAAATGCATAAATCATTAAATTAAAATTAGAACTTTGACCTTCTTCTGTTGGTCCCAAATCACTGGTAGTCTCCATTCTGGCACTGATCATGCCTTCCTCAAATTGTGCATATGCATCAAACACCTGCATGGAGAATAACAACATAAACATCAATAACACATACACGAATTGGTGTGATGCTCTAAGAGGAGATTTACTCATTAGTTATCCAGATCCAGATGGTTATGTCAAAAGTAGGCCATTTAATGCAAAGTGCTAATTTCAATAACAATTATTCATAAATTCTGCACAATATACCAAATTGATTTAAATTTGTATTTCTTTTAAATATAATTTATTTAGGTATACAATACAACTAAGTTAAAGTGTTTACTTATGATATGAGTATTAAAGTCAGGCACCAGAGGAATAAACATTTATGATAAGTTGTAAAAAAAAAATTCAGATTTTTGAATACAGTATTTAAAAACTGGAGGGAAGGAGTGTTTATACCCATTCCCCCCCCCCCCATTTTTATATTCAAAAATCTGTATCTCATCAACTGCTCATGAGTTTTTCGTCAAATATGCTTTTTGTGTCTTAGAAAAATCCGGAGCCCGACTACAAAGATAGATTGACAGTGACGTGTTAAACTGCATTTTTGAAAACAAGATTTAAGAGTTTCTGTTTAATCAATACAGAATTGCTTCATTCTAAAAATAAATGAGGAAAACGATGGAAATATTTTAAAAATGTACCTGAGTGAAGTCTCTTACAGTGGTAACAGTCTGAATGGCTTCTTCATATATATCGCGTGCCTAAGAAAACAATGGTTTAAACAAATATAAAAATCCAATTATCAAAAACGTATGAACAGCTTTATTAATATGCATATTTTCAAAATGCTAAAATACTGTATAATACATTTAGAAATAATAATTCAACATTTGAGTATACTCTATGCTGAAGTAAAGGTTCATTTCAGTTCATGTTGTAGACGTTTTAATCAAGGACTTTTAACTGGTAACAGTTAAAAGTCCTTGTTTTAATAGCACCTTGTCCGATATGGTCCGATAATGAATAATTTTGTCCTAGTTTCTGCAGTATACTCATGTTCAAAGTTCATGATTTTGGGCATTTCTCAAGCATAAACCATCACCAAATCATTAAAAATTGTTGTTTTAACATTGAAAATGGGGAAAATAACAGCATAGCATGATGTACAGTTATATAAGGGTTAGTTAAGTGCAATAAAATAGATTTCAAAAATGTTGAAATTCCAGCATGTTTTGGCCATTATCTCTGAAACAGGATTTGCGACAAGTGACTGGTTTGACTTGTCTTTGCCACATATGGGAAACATAATTAAACTCATTAAACATTGTTACCCTTCTTATGGTCTTGTGGACATTTTTAAGCGATGTTACAAATATTAGCCTTTGAGAGCTCAAGTAGCAGAAAGAAGACTTTAAAATTAGATTTACTTTCTCAAAGTGTCCACTCCTGATGTAGTAATCTGCAAGGGAGCACCAGAGCTGACCTCGTTCATCGGTGAAACGCTTGATCCCCTGACGGATGATGGGGTCAACCTTCAGGGACTTGACCTTTGTAGGATTTTTGCATATGAGGTCACAAAGATCATGCCACAGCTAGGAAATGTAAAAAAGGTGATGCCATTACAAGCAATAGGGGCAAGTAAACTTTTTAGTATGGAAAATTCAAATGGATCAAGAATACAGTTGAACTTGCCTAAGTCAAATCCAAAATGCAACTGAAATATTGTTCGACTTTGATAAAATTCGACTTCCAGAATGTTATTTAATGGAAAACACAACAATTTGGCATGGCAATTATTCGACTTAGGCACAGTCGACTTAGGCAAGTTTAACTGTAGAAGCATAAGTTTAGGAAGTTGATGTTTTCAGCATAATCAATCATAATTGAATCGGCTATGACTAATTTCAAATTGCACAGTATAAACAAAATATGAATAAAAGTTTTCTGTGATAAATTATATGACACCAATTTTAGAGGGTGATTATTACCTGATGGGTAGACTTTCCCTTCTTGGAAACAAACTTGTCATCATTAACCACGCCCGCTAGTCGAACTGCAGCTTCATCCAGACGATCTATTGATATTAGGTAATCAATGTATTTCTCAGCATCCTCCGGAGACAACTATGAAAACAAAACATAAACAAATGCGATTTGCATTTTTTACTTAAATTTCATATAAGAAATGGTGTGGCCATTGCTGCCATTTGAATTCATAGATTAACCACTAGACATTAACTACACTCTAACGACAAACTGCCCCAATTCCTGAATTTTTTTATCGGTTAATTTCTTTTGTTATACATTTTTTATATATTTTTATAAAAAATTTATAATTTTTTATATTTACTGGGCTGCCAGAATAAATACCTGTAGATAACGCCTGTATACCCTTACAGCTGTCTCATACAAAGGGTGCATACATATGAATTTCAGGTATAATGGCCAGATACGTTTATGTTGTGTAATAGGCAGCGCCCTTAATGCTCTGTCAAACGTACGCCTAGTCCTAATGATCTTGGATTGGTCCATCAGGAACTGGCAATAATCCAACCAAATACGAGGCATCTACAAAATATCAACATATAAATTCTTAGATAGTGAAGAAAAACATACTGTAGGTGGTGCCCTCAATGTCCTGTTGAATATACACCTAGTGATATTGCACTAGTCCATAGGAATTGGAAATAATCCATCCATCATGGACAAAATTAGAAGGCTTCAAAATACTGGTTTACCTTGTGCATGAACACCAACCCTCTCTCAAATGCATTGTTGACATCCTCATAGGCAGGGTCAGTTATACACCGTCCCCTGATCTGCTTGCGACGAACTTTCAAATAGTTGTACCATAACTTGTAACTATATTTAAAAATAAAAATTTGTATAAGATATATTTGTAAGAGACTATTTGGTGGCACTGACAGTGACATATAGCTACGGTCGGCAACCAATGGCCCAAGTTTGGGTCGTGAGTAAACTTTTGAGGCTCGCATATGGTCTTAAATCAATAATAGAAAAGGTGATAGTAAGTGATGAATTTAACATTAACAAATCAGAAAATTCCTTTAAAAACAAAGATCCATAACTTAAAATTTTGGCCCTCCTATTTTTCAAAATTGTGTTAAATGTCTGGTTGTTGTCAGTTTGATAAAATTTCGATGTCGTGTACCCGAGAGCTTATGCAGAATTTGATGTCTTCAAAAACATCAGCAATTTGCTGGCAGAGGAACCATGTCGATCAAGTGTAAAACCCAGCAGGGCTAAAATTGATACTTCTATAAGGATCAAAGAACAGCAATTGCTTGGATTTAGGAGCCAATTACTGCCAATGTCAATACATTACGATATATCTATGGAGAGTCAATTGAGGTGGCATATGGCTCACTCCTGACGAACTTACTTTTAACACCAGACGTCACCAACTTCTGAGACGAGGGATAAAAAAAACACTCTTTACTTGGTCAAGTGGCCATCGGGTTCTTGATGCCATTCTCAACATTGAAATGATACAAGTTAAAAATAGGCCTAGTATTTAGATATCGACCATATTATTTTCTATGGGGTCGGTTGACTGGAAGCTTTGGGTCGTAGGAAGCAATGGCAATAAGTTTTGTTTCCTAGAGATGAAAAGGTTGCCAAAAACATAGATATATAGTATATATGTAGATGTTGTAACCAGTGAAAATTTCACTTACTGTCTATTTGCTGTTAAAAAAAAGCATTAACATTGAGCTTTCATATTTGAAATAATTTCTCTAAATACTTATTAGAGTTCGTAGCCCCAGACATTTCATAAAATACAATAGGCATATATTAACCCTGACAACATTTTAAAATCTGATTGCAGAATAGGCCTAAAGAAAAGTCTGGGTTATTATGTGGTCACATAATTTTGACATCCCATTCTGTATGACAACCTTGCAGTATTACTGATTTTCTCATAGGGGGTGAAACATAGGACCAGAAGAGAAACACATTAATTGCAAGTACTACTGCAGATGATGAGGAAAAAAGAGGAAGAGGAAAGTAGGAGGAGTATAAAATTCCAGTAGACAGTACCTTCCTGGTAGCTCCTTCAGAGCACGTTCATAAATCAGGTTGAGAGGGGCTGATGACCCTTCGGCTTTGTGCTCAATGTAACGCTGCCAACACTTCACCGAATATGGATTACGGAGGATTTCTTCTTCATATGGAAGATCATCTTCTTCCTAGATTGAAATAATAAAATCAGACAGATTTCAATCATGTATTCTTTATTTTCTCAGTTGATGATTTCATTTCACCTGTGGGACCTGAAAAACCACTGAATTAGCTCATGTTGTTATGCTTTTGAATGAGATCATTTGACAGTCAGTAATTGTTGTTGTTCTTTCTACTCACTTTAAAAGGTGAGGTTTAGTATAGAATGGTGAATAGTGGAGGAACAATTGATATAATATAATGTACCTCCCACATTGAAAAGCTGGGGTTGTGTCCCCACCAATCAACACCCATTCATGATGACAATTATATTACTTTTTTAAGGTTGCACGCGAAAGACCAGTTTATTAGTACTTTTGAAGGCACAGTAATAACTGCCTGTCAAATTACGTGGAATGCAGAAACTTTTAAATATTAAATCCAAAAAAAAAAAGGAAATTCGTTTTGTTGACAAGCTCAACAAAGACACAAAAATTGAAATAAACAGTACATATAAAAACACAAAAGTATCACAAAATTTTGCAGTATAGGTTCCCTCAGTTGGGACTTCCGCAAGCTAGGCCGCCCATTGAGAGCCTTCACAATGCTTGTTTTTGTGATTGATGGAAATTGCGCCGGGGAAATCCCTTTTGATCCTGAAGCCATCACACACATCGCTCTTCCGCATGCCTAGCTAGAACACTACATGGATTATAAATAATTTGACATCTACATTATCTATAAAATAATTAAGAACTTACAAACATCAAATTCTCTTTATTCTTTAATTCTGGCATGTTGATGTTTCCACAGATGGGTCTTTTTGTCTGTATATACCATTTACACGTGCAAATACAACTCGTGAAATCAAAAATAAGGCAAACGTTGGTGAAACGTTTTCTGCGCATGCACCAAATTTATTAGCCAATCAATAGCTGCAGCGGGCAACATTGTGATTTTATCGGCTAAAATAATAAATTGTACCGTGAAGGTAAGTCTTTCGAAAAATAACACGACTAACTTGCAGATTTCATCTTTTTTTAGTTATGGTATACGCTTCATCTGAGGTATAGTAAGTATGTGCTAGTTAACTTGTTTATATATATGTCCAATCATCTGTGGTGTGTAAATGAAGGCATTTTAGTACGATTGTTTTGACTGGCGACAGGCCATACCCCCTGGCCTGTCTTTCTGCTGTGCTGGTGGTGGTTGAGCCAAAACACAAAGCCTAAAAAAGACCGTGTGAAGGCACTGAATTGGGTTTGACAACCTTTGTAGTAGGTACCAGTGGTCTACCACCAATACACAATACGATAGGGCCTAGCCTAGGCCATTGACCATGTTAAACAAATTGTTAAATTTACGATTGTGGGTGACTCTGACGGCTATAATTTGTTCTTCATGAAAGGTCATTAAGTATGTCACAACAGGTTGTTCTTTATTGACTCACTGTTTTGACACAATTCTTGAATCTTGAATCATATCCTCCATAAAAATCATTTGAATTGCAGGTGATGAAGGGCGTAAAAAAGGGCTGTAAAAAGGAAGTCAAGTGGTTCAGTAAATAACAAGAAGTTGTATTTGGTACTATTATTCTGTAATGAAACAATTACTAGTTCAGCAAACAAAACTACCTGATGACATATTTATTCCATGCTTTCACCATGTTTTCCTATGTTAAAATAAAGCTAAATATTCTTATACCAGCTTACCGTGCCACATTATAAAGTATTTCGTTTGCATGGGCGATACATATTAACTCAAATTTGCTCAGAAAATTGCTAAAAAAATTAGATGGGAAGAACCGTAAATACAGTGAATCCTTCAGTTTGAGACCCTTGAAATTCTGAGACGCATCTCACTCGAGACCACTTTTTCAAAGAACCAAATGACAATCTTCAATCTTTTAATTAATTTATCCGTAACACCAAGATACCCCTCTAATTGGAGACCGAACGGTCTCAAATTGGAGGGTGAGCTGTACTATGTAATTCATTTGTGGTATAATAAGAATAGGCCAATACCTAATTTTCTGCAAAATTGCATGGAATTGGCCCATAATTGTTGAAATGTGTGGACAGATTTGTAGATCTAAATTTGTGTATGAGGGTTTGATATTTATTATAAAATAAAATAAATGAAGTATAGCTTAATAATTTTTTTATTACAATTAAAACATAACCTTATATTCCAATGGAGTATTTAAAAAAACATGCCATCAAAGATAATTAGACTAATTATAATTAAACCTTTCAAATTGCTTTAAAATAGGATCATATTTTATAAAGAGATGTTAAAGTCAATATTTCAAAATTATTTATTATCAATGACTTATGAAAAATAAAATATTCAAGCAGTTGGTAATGAGGGTCTACTGTATACATTTTCATTTATAAGTTGGCTACTGTATATTGAAAATGCCAGTCTTTCAACAGCATGTGATCCAATCTGGCTATTGGGATTTGGGTTTAAAAACACTGTATGCTATTGAGTGTACATTTCTACGTTATATAATGTTCTCAATTCATTGCTCAAATTGTTTTTTTATGAAGGTGGACCCAAAATTAAGCAATATTTCTGACTTAATTTATGAGGCTAAATCACAAGTGCATTAAGGCTTTTTAATGTGCTTTTCTATCACCAATGCAAAACTGTAGTCTATGACCTCAAACATTCAGTTATGGCATTAGGCTAAATGTACATCCCTTGTATTCCATGAAATAATGTTTCCAGGAATCCATGTACATGTAATGCTTATTGCAGAAAAACAGAAGTGACTACTGTACTGTAGATGTTTGTTAGAGAATCACTGGAATGTCATCAATCCCACTACAAATACCTGGCATATACTTTACAACTCCAAAATATATACCTTTGCAGGTATATTTTTAAAATGTCACTTTTACTGTACCTGTGGTTGACACTGAAACATTTTGTTGTATTCTCCGTAACCATGGCAGTCTGAAAATTAATCCTTTGAGAAATAAAATACTCAAAAGGTGTCTCATTAATGCTTGATAATGTATGTTGCCCTAATTATGAGAATTTTCCAAAAAAAATATTTATACAGCTGTAGATACAAGTTAAATATTTTTTTTCGTTTATTTGTTTAAAGATACAAAACAAAAAATAATCAACATTCAAAATCTTATTCTCACACAAAAAGTATGAATAATCTTTTTATCTTCAAATCAGATTGATATCTGTATGTTTGCAGGGGCATACTGTAGGCTGGTTTCATCTGGAGCTGGGTTTTGGGGGGGGGGGGGGGGGGGGGGGGGGGGGGGGGGTGCGCGAAATTTTAGAAAGCAGAATTAATTTCTATTTCATTGAAAACTTAATTTAAGTATTTTAACTCATTTGCACCCCAGCCTATACCCATAGTTTGCAACATCCTGTACATAAAAATATAACATACGGTAATCAACATTTAACATCTCACATAATAATATAAGAATAATATTGTATGTATGTTTGAAACAAAAATATTGTTTTGTTAAACTGGAATTTCCCATTTCCCAATTAAGAGCTGTCAGCCAACAACTCACTTGAGGATTAGTTTAGATTGAAATGTAATCTAACCAGCCAAAGTTTGATTCTTAATGTTCAAAAGACAGAGAAAAAAATGTTTGTTAATGATGCAACCAAGGCCTGAGGTACAGTAGTGCGTTTGATTGATTAGCAGAGATGTTCATTTGGTGTACTTTTCCTTCTGGTGTGTATATTAGCCTGATTTAAATTCTATTTTTGTTTATTTGCTAATCTTTGCAATTGGACTAAGAAAATACACTTTTACCAATAGCTTTATTACTGATTAAAGAACATTGTATACAATAATTTCAAGTAAAACATTGAGCAACCCTACCAGGTACTGCATTGAGTATTTTTATGTTTGTTTTTGTAAATTTAAAATATTAGAATGTATGATATGATAATAAATGGTTCAATTCAAATCATTGTACAGGCGTGAGCAAACCCACTTGCCCGACGCCCGCGACAAGTGTTTTTTACGGTCGGACAACAAGAACTTCAGGGGCCACTTGTCCCTGGACAAGCACTTTTAGAATAGACTACTTCACCATGTAATGCGTAATGCTTTCACAGTACTTATAATAAATGCGCAGCATATTTTATTGACAAATTGTCGGCGCACAAAGAGATATCAAACATAAAACCGACTACGCTATGATTACACTGTCTGCGATTTATTGACGGTTTAAAAGAAAAAATGTAGGCTTCTCAATATAAATTTGTTATTTTTGCAGTAAAGATTGAAAATGAATTCTTAATTGTTAAACGTTAGCCAGATCTGTTGTATGTGTACACATAGACCTACAGCAGGTACATGTTAGACGTCAGCCGTCTGGACCTGCTGCATCTGGTCTGTTTACAATATAAATTCGCATTGGTCTAGTCTATAATACCAGGCATACATTTAAAGACTTTGGGCGAACAGTCATTGATTAGTGGAGTTGGACGACATGAAATATCTGGACTTCAAGGCTAGTAATTACTTTTAAGTACAAATATGCTCAGCAGGCATTAGGCGACTTCAAAAAAGGCCTACTGTAGTCTATTACGTTTGCACTTGTGGGGGAATTCACTTCTAAGTGATGGATATAATGTGCATTTAAAATTCAAATCTTGTAAAACTGTAGTTAGAAATTGAGGGTTTAGGGCCTATAGGGGTAAATGAATCATTTTCCCGTCTCAGAAATTTGGCGTCTTGGAGATTCTCTAGAAAGGATTTGTCCCTTGGCCATGCTCAGAGTTATATATGCCCACAGTGCTTGTCCTTCGTTGAGAGGTAAGCAATTTTATTTATTTTGCAATAAATGAAATGAGGATGTGTTAGACTGTAAAATATTCCCCACGTAAAATAATAAGCCAAATCTGTCGCCACATCCTGTCAGCATGTGGCTGAGAACTCGTGTATTGTGGAAAATAAAATATGCCTGAGAAGTTTTTACTTGCAGTTGTCACAACGACGGCTTTTAAACACGCAATATAGTGTGATGTTTTTTCAAGTCATTAAACCCCACTCAAAAGGGGTAACCCCTCACAGTGCATGCATACTGTAGCTGAGTTTTTAAGGACAAATTTACCAGTAAAAAATGTTTCAATTGGGAGAACACTGTATAAGTATGGAATTCTAAACATTACGTTTTGAAAGGAACAGATTACTGTATTGTGAAAACTGGAGATTTAAAAAAATTTTTTTTTTGTGTATATTGTTTCGTTTTTAATTTGTAGGCTATTGAAATGTATTGAATTTTATTTTTTAACTCATTAAGTGTCATTATGTACAGTTACTAATATTTATTTGACATTTAGTATTCTGTATCCTTTCATTTTAAAAGTGTATAGAACTCTTATATAAAATGTCCCAAAGACCAATAAAAACTGTATTGATTTATTTCCCTGCGTTAACAAAAGACATTGTTACAAATATTGGAATCGTGAAGATCCTTCTGAACCATCAATGATAAATAAATTTTAATAAATTATCAATAGAACAGGGTGAATGTACTGTACTGTACAGTTGCGTCTCAATATTGGGTCGCCAATTAAATTAGTGGGTCGCGGTACATCATACAGTATGAGTATTTTAAAATTGAATTTTGTAATCCTCCTAAAATTTGATGATTATAAAAAGGATTAAATAGGCAATGAATTTCATTCATTCTTTGGATAACACTACCCCTACTGTCTGTAGTACCATTGTTTTTTTTTTTAATTAGACTAAGTCCAAAAAAAAATTGATCCTTACTGTAGTTTCAGGTCCAGGATATGAAATTATTTTTGGTAAGGGCTTAATTATTGCAATTTACTATCCCATATACTAATGATACTCAACTGTTTTATAATAAAGATTATTCTTTATAAAAAAAAAATAGTAAAATGAATCATTGGAATGTATTTTGCCATCTATGTCAACTCCTCCTTAGGATTTGATAATCTTTCAAATCGTAATTATTTTTATTTTGCCTT